GTTGTGTTGTTGGATGTAGTAATAGACAGGAACAAAAGCCTGGTCTTGCTTTCTATCGTTTTCCAACAGACAAAGAGTGATGGATTTTAGCTGTCAATCAGAAATACTAGGAACCATCTAACTACAGCCGTCTGTGTAGCAAACATTTTATAGCAGGTATGAATGCTAATTTTTCAATATTATATAAATAAATATTACATAAATGTATCCTTTTATACTATGGGATAAAAATGCAAATGATCATCTAGCCCCAAAGCCTCATAAAAGTTTTGATAACATGACAGTATCTGCCTGCATTGACACACAAAACACAACAAACTTGTCAGAAGCCTTGTTTCTGCCTTGTGGCTTGGCTCAAACATTGATTAGTTCCTTGGTCATTTCAGTATATTTGAGTAATATTTTCATATATACTTAGATCTGACATACAATAAACTTTATCAGTCCATCACATTATAATTTTTTTCAACAGTATTTAATTGACATTTCAATGTTAGAATTTTCCTGAAAGTCTGAAAATTTTACCATATGAGCCAAACAGATCAGAAGTAGTTTCACTTTAATTCACTTCTTCATGAATAATTATTTTTTGCATCATAATGTTAGTAGCCTCAGACAAGCTACCAATATGTATAATTCTGTTAAGTGAATTTTCAGGTGCCAAGAGTGATCACCCACTCTCCACTGACAATATTCCTATTGTATTTTCTTACATCAAGTCACCCCATTAAAGACGAGCAGCGAAGATATATATGGCCAATTTCATACATGCCAGTCAATGAAAAAAAGGAAGTCGTGAGCAGTGAATTCAGGTAGTGATGCAGCTGCACCTCTCACGCTATCAGAAAATAATCTGTCTGGCAAAACAAACAGGTCACTTTGCAAGCCCGCTAGCTTTACCTTCTGCAGGTATTACTGCCCATGTTCTCCCTGCATGTATAAAAAGTATCTGCCATAATTTATCACACTTTCAACTCTTCTGAATTTATCTCGCATGTGGTATATCAGGGTACTATAGACTCTAGCATGATGTCCAAAGTGGTGGAAAAGCATGTATCACGTGATTTTGATCACTTGTCTGCAAAACCTCTATAGGAGAAGTGTATGTTCTTTTCAATAAATATATTTTCACTTTGTACTTGTATTGTTTCTTATACTAATTATAAGGTGTCTGTAGTAACAGTAGTGTAATTAATAATATTACATTAGCATTAGCAGAGAAATATTTATTTTGGATGATGAATGATAGAAATCAATCATCCTTATAAATTCTAAACTGTTAGTGTTGAATGGTACTTTAGTTTCATCATGAGTAGGGACCCAATACTGTAATAGAACTATAACTTATAGTACAAGTAATGTGGAGACCCAGGTCTCTGCCCCACCATTCACTAGAGCTGATCAGTTACTGGTATTTGCTAATCAGTTAATTGACAGACTCATTAATCAGTTATATTTCATTAATCAATAAGTATATGCCCCTTCAATTCCTTCTCCCTTACGAAAAAAATTTTCATTCAAATTGCTTTGGGTTTTTTAAAGTAATTTTTGAATTACCTTTGGATTAATGTGACAGCCCTTTTCTGAAGTTGCCATTTGTGTATTTTAATCACCATAACACAACTCTCATGTGCTTTAATGCTTTCAAAAAAACTAATAATAAATATTGTTTAACAATAAAGATAATCTAGGCATTTTCTTGTTAGTAAATGAATCTCTGATGTCGACTTCATATAACCACTCTCACCATTGTTTATAAAATATACAGAAATCATACACTGATCAGTGATCTGTAAATCGTATAAACTGATAATTAATGAAACCATGTTTTGCTATTACCAATTTTTCTTTAAAATGTATGCCATTTATAATCAAAAATAGTTAAGTAGCCTTTTATCCAATTTATTTATTTGCATTCACCACATTGCTTGAACAGGATGAATATAAAAATAATTTTCAATAAACATATGTGTCATCAAAATATTTTGCAGTCCCCTGACATACTAATATTCTGATTTGATGATAGTTTTACGTAGTGAACATAAGAAAAAAAAAGGAACTTCATATTTACAAACATTGTAAGTCAATAAAATCGTGGTACAACAATTAAAAAAGTGAAAATGCTATAATTTTAATGAACCAAGCATCAACAAGATACCTTTATTAAGCCTTAAGCATTCTCTAGTAATATGTTTCATACTGTGTATATATTTAGTATAAACTACTTATACCTGATGATAAAACCTTCTACAAACATTCTACACTTATTGTTGTTAAACTTGTAACAATTTTTCATTATTGCGCATTCAACCTGTCTCTTAAACTATATAAGCTTACCTTATCTCAAGTTATCTGATGCCTTCAAATTGAAGAAAATTTCTGTAGCTATTATACATATAATTTAACAATCTACACAAGTACTTTCACAATTCATAAACAAAAAGAACTGAAAGAAATGTTTCACGAAACTACAAAAAAACAAAATTAAACCAATATGATTACTATTAAGTGATAGTCTAATTCTTGCTCTTTCCATTGGTATTTAATCTTTTTTTGCAGCTGTTTTCAAAGCTATACTTCATTAGTGAATGATCAAACCACTTGATGTGGCACTGTAACAAGTCCTGTACAAAAACTAAAAGAAATGCTTCAAAAGTAAGATATGGATAATATATTCTCAAGGGGTAATAAGTTCTTAATATAAATACTTATTCTCAGGGATGGAGAGAAAAATTCTAAAAAAATTTGAGAAGTGGGCTGTTTTTTTTTTGCATAGGCAAACAGCTTTGCAGCTGTGCAGAAATTAAAATACAAACTTTATATTTTTCTTAATGAATTGCACTAAAGAAGTATCCAAAATATCAAATCTAAAATATTTTTTTGTTTGTACATGAAAACATACTATACATCAATTTATTTTTGTAAAATAAAACTTCTGATAACTAACTTTACTGTTAAAAGTATAAAGATTAATGTTTAGCTTTTCTGAAATAAACACTGCTGGAGTCTACAGCAATCCAGTTAAGCCCTTCTCAGCCAATAGTTGATTGCTTCTATGCTAGTACAACATTTAAATATCCAGACATTTTATATTTAAATCAGTTATACTTGTCATAAAATATTGTTAGGCCTATAAAATAAGTATTATAATTTTATCTAGCCCCTTAGGGATTTTCAAGAATTAGAATAGAATACGCTATATTTGTCATATCCATCCAATTGTTCTTTTCACTCAATCCAGAGCTGTTGAAAATCCCTAAGGGAATAGATTAAGAATGTAATGTTAACAAAATGTAATAACCCTAACATAATGTCTTATAACTAGTAGAATTGATTATAATCATGTTTTGCCAGCTTGTAAATGGTGTTCACACCATAAACATTGGTGTAAAAAAATAGTCCATATAACAATCTTTTGGGACAACATGGGACCTTCTGTGTTTGTTGTGTCCCACCTGGCCTGAAGAGCTCTGGATTGAACAAAATGTGTCATCAACAGTGGATATAACGAATATAGTGTAGTTGTAATACTATTATTGTAACATTTCTAATTCTTCAAAATCTTCAAGGGACTAGATTAAGAATGTAGTGTTAAAAAAATATAGCAGGCCTAACATAATGTCTTATGACTAGTATAATTGATTATGATCATGCTTTACTAGCTTGTAAAAGGTATTTAAACCATAACATTATATATTTGTTTTCATCATAGTATTGTTTAGGACACTTTCACCTCTTACTGTAGACTTGTTAAAAATCAATTTTTTTTCCATTATAGTGTTAGAATTCTCACAAAAAAAAGATGTTTTTCATTTTATTGATGTCTAAAATATGTGAAATATAAGTGGTAAGACTGTATAAGTAATGACTTTTTAAAATAATTTTGAAAACAGGCATCTGTACTATCATTATAAACTATTGTAACTATTTAAAAAGTTTGAAATGGTTTTTCTGCTTTTATTTTCATATCAGTCACATTAGTATGAATATAAACGTAAGCATTGAAATTGCTGGATTGTATATAACAAATATTTTCAATTCTAGGAGCTTGCCCAAAAACTCAGCAGCCAGGTGTGCCTAACCTAACTTCTCTACTGTTTGTACTGGGAAATGGGGGATACACTAGTGCCTCGATTATTTGAGCCTCTCTTATCAGCAATCCTAGATTATCTGTGTTTTTTTCTTTTCCTCAGAATTTTCTCAAAATAATTGTGCCATTACAATTCTAGACAACAATTTACATGTTTTGGAGAAACTATTACTCCATAATTAATTTTGGTTTCAAAAGTTCAGCTGTTGCATGATATCTGGGGTTTTCGCATGCAGGATCTGGCATGTGTTCAAGTCGTAAGTCAGCAAGCTCAAACCTAGTCTTACTACCTCTTTTATTTATAGCTGTTAAGACAGGAATACAAAATATATGTAGCTTGGTTAACTTTATTTGATTAGTAATTAAAAACATAGTATACAAAAACACAAAAAATACACATAAATATTCCTTAAAGATTTCACTCAGCTTCAGTTGTTGGCCTCTGTTCTCTGCTGCATGGCGGGCATCCTTTAACCATAGATGCATATTCAGCTTGTATTGGGGCATCACCCAGTTACACATTGCCCTCTTCTCTACAGATAATTGGTATCTTTAGTCTGTTTTAATAAAGGCTTTTTCATAGTACTTTCCCAGCTTAGATTTGTGCTAATTATTGACTTGTTTTTTCACAGGCATTGATAGGGTGCAAATGCACTTCCATGTCTATGGCAGAAAAAAATTCTAAAACTTAGGAGCTATTTACACCTATGTTAGCAATTTTAAATTCAACTAAAACTAGAATGGGCAATCAAAAGAGGAAGTATTATAGTAGAACAAGTGGAATTGGATTAGCATAACTCATGAAATTCAGAGATATTGAGCATGACTGACCAACACTTGGCTTTTATGATTATGATTACTTTTATAATTTTTCATGATAATGTGATTAAAGGACAGTAAAAAGATTATAATTTAAGAAAAGGAACTTAACTGTATTGAAAATGTTTATTTAGATTAAACAATGGGTTAACTAATGAGATACACAAATGCCTCAATTATCTGCAATTTTTTGCTTTCCTTGGACCTGCTCGGATAATTGAGACACCAGTGTATATTTATTTACTTTCACAAAAACTAGTGCATGCTAAAGACCATATGATATCAACAACCACTTGGTAGTATTGCCTGAACTAACTGCCTTTGGTCTAAACACGCACATTGAAATAAGAAAAACAAAATGGCACAAAATTAGTAACATTTTGTTCAACTGCAGCACTTCATTCTGGAAAAATCATGAAGAAGTGCTGAATGCATCATTAAAATCCTAGAAAGTTTGATGTAGGACTCAAAGGATGCAAAAATAGTTCTAGACTTCCAAGAGTCCAGAACTGTTCTAGATTCGAGTTCTGTTTAGCACAGCTCTATACACGAATAAAATGGAAGAAAATACTAGACACCACGATGTTTTGTCGCCATGGTGACCTGGTGCCCAGGATTTCTTGAGGCCTGATAGAACCTGACTGAGCTAATCATCTACAGGATATATTAATGTTATTTGAGCTTTGTTGGACTTACATCAGTTGCTTTAGAACCATATGATATGGTCAACATTGAGGTAATAAAAATATATCATATTACAGCAGAAGTATCCTTTCATATAAAAACAACAACAAACATTTAGTTATCGTATTACACAGCTAACTTTTAAAAAGTTAACTGGTATCATATCATCACTGTAAGAATGAACATTACTGCAGCTTATCTAAAAAAGTTAAATATTGTTACTTGTTAAAACAATAATATGACATTATTTGAGTAAACTTTCTAGTTTTATTCTTATTCATTTCCTAATGGTTTTCAAACTTTGTAAGATAACATTATAAGTATCAAAAGTTTTATTTTACAAAATATATTAATGTTATACAAATTTCATACACAAAATGTCAGCTTTTTAACTCTCAACAAGGGCTCGGTCGATTTGACTGACCATATGATCTTTTTGTACTAGTGTAAAGTTTTTATAGATTTGATACTACTAACTTTTAATATAGTATGTATATCTTCACAAAATTTGGCAGTCTTTCAGTAAAATTTGTCTTTGACATACAAAAAAAATAATATTTTTAGTGAAGTATTTTAAATAAACTAAAAAAAAGATATTTGTCTGTGAATATATCGAGTATTTTTTGACTAGTTTGTGTGCAAAGTGATTTTCATATTAAGATTAAAAATGTTTTTCTTCATCTCGGAAATCTCAAATTTCATTGGTGTAATCTCTAAAACCTCCTAAATACATTTCAAATGTTTGTTTTCAGTAAAACTATATCTTATCTGTTATTTTCTCTATACAAAGTTGGTAAATATGACAAACCTCATAACCACCAAAAAGTATCAAAATAAATCTAAATTACCCCTTTTTCTTTCTAGAATGACTTCAAATTTTAACATGAAAGTACATTCTTTTATCCTAAATATCTCTAAGTTCGTAACAGTATACATCTATTTATAATTAAATTTTATTG